CCCCCTCGCCCCTCGCTTGTTTCGGTTCTTTCTAAAGCCTCTCAGACAGCCTAGGATTGTCTCCGAGATTCTTGTAAGTCTCCTTATAATTACCCTGTTAATGTTACGTACATATATATATATATATATATATATATTATATTGTAAACTACATCCCATCATATCTCGACTATTTTTTTTTTGGGTATAATTGTTGCTTAGAAATTGAGCTTTGTTTTTCTGATGTTGTGGGAATTCCAACCTTGTTATTATTATATAATTCAAAATTACCATTATCTCTAACCTTGCAAAATTCTAATTTCTTTTATACAATGACACATATAACTTACCATTTTGTAATCAACAATTTTATGCCATGTTCATATTCATATTTGCTGAAGTTACAATATTACTTAACTATAAACACGATTATCAACAACTTGCAATAACATTTTGGGTATTGGAAGAGCATCTTCACTTACCATTTTGTAATCAACAATTTTATGCCATGTTCATATTCATATTTGTTGAAGTTACAATATTACTTAACTATAAACACGATTATCAACAACTTGCAATAACATTTTGGGTATTGGAAGAGCATCTTCAATGTCGATGTTATAGCCGTGTTTGGAATTGATCTCATTTTTATTTTTCACATTTTTTGAGAAAGAAAAAATGAAAACATTTTCAAAACGGCGTTTGACGCAATAAAGACAAAAAACGGAAATGAAAATGATTTTTTAGTTTAGTGTAAAATGAGAGAAATGAAAAACGACTTTTAGTCCTTTTTCATTTTTTGTTTTCGTTTTCTCCTCTCTCGAACAGAGAGAGACAAAGAGAGATATTAATGGGTTTTTTTACATTGAAAATAATCTCTTGATAGAACAACCAAACGCATTTTCAAAAATAATTTCTGTCTGAGATTGAAAACGTTTTCATTTTTATTTTCATACAAAAAACAAAATCATTTTGGAACGAGTTCCAAACGCACCCTATATTTGGCACTAAAATGGAAAAATAGAATGTTAGCATCTCCAATGCAATGCTATAATTAATGTGCCAATTGCAAATTTAACATTTGAGTGCAAAAAATACTCTCTAATGCAATGTTATTTGTTGTGCCAAATTTTTTATATGCTATACTTCGTGGCAAACAAATTTTTCACTAAGTATAACATATGAGAAATTTGACATTTGATTATTATTGATTGAAATGTTTACTTTTTTCATGTAATGAATGCAAATTTTGTATTTTTTAATTATTTTAAAAATAAAAGTTTACTTTTACAACTCCCAAAACTTAGTAATTATAACAAAAAATAGATTTATCATTTCAAATAGTATTATGTATTGGAGTAAAATGAAAATAACATACCATATTATAGTTTTTTATGCTAAATATACAATTGGTATTAGCATTTACATTGGAGATGGTTTAAAACTAAAATTTTGATTGTAAAATAAATTGGAATTGACATTTTTGTGATAATTAAATTGAAAAGTCAATAGCAATTAAATGCTAAAGTTTGGTATATGTTAATATGTCTCATTCCGTTGTATTCGTTAGTCGTTTCCGTAGAGTAATTTTTTATTACTTTATTTTTTTTATTTCTTCTTCTTTTGCTTGCTATTGTGGTTAGTTTCTAAACATCTTTTTAATTTTAATTTTATTTATTCTTAGTAATTTTGAATGGAGGATTTATTCATCTCTTTATTTATATATCAAAAATTGAAATTTAAAGTATAGCAGATATACCACATTTAGTATTAAAAATAGCATTGCATTCGAACTATTTAAATGTGAAATTATTTGACAGTTCACAATAAGTAAATATTCATCACCTATACTATGCTAGCTTCAACAAATGCGGTATCAAAATGATATATCAAATTAACTCCCCCTTTCACCAATTTTCATTTCACATATAAACGTGAAACACCTAAACATATTATTATAACTTTTTTTTTCCCCTCCAAATCAACCAAATAAATTGGATTTAATATTTATAAACCATTTTAAAATGGTGGGCATGTGTTGTGAAAATACAGGGTGGCATAATAGTGGGACCGAGCGTGTTAGGCCGGAGCAAGAAGTTCAAGGAGTTCCTGTTCCCGGAGAACGCAGACTTCATGGTGAAAAACATAGGCCTGCTAGGGTTCATGTACTTCCTTTTCGTCTCCGGCGTCAAGATGGACGTAACCCTCATCACCAAGTCCGGCAAGAAGCACATCTGGATCGCCCTTGCCAGCGTCATCTTCCCGATGTCCATCGTCCTCGCCGTCGGCTTCTCCCTCCGCAAGTCCATGGACGCCGACCTCGCCTCCGTCTCCTCCATCGGCGCCGTCGCCTCCACCGTCGCTACCACCGCCTTCCCCGTCCTATACCCCGTCCTCAAGGAGCTCAACCTATTGAGCTCCGAGGTCGGACGGATGTCCCTCTCCACCGCCGTCATTGCCGACGCCATCGGCATCAACGCCCTCATCGCCTTCGAGGCCTCGAAACAAGGCGAGGCCCAGTCGAAGAACGGCGGCTGGTACCTCATGTCCTCCATCTTCATCCTCATCCTCCTCATCCTCATCCGCAAGCTCATGACCTGCCTCGTCCTCCGCTCCGGCCAGAACGGCAAGCCCATCGACCAGGCCTTCATCGTCGCCATCCTCCTCGGCGCCCTCTTCATGGGCTTCCTCACCGACATGTTCGGCCTCGCCATCGCCAACGGCCCAATGTGGTTGGGCCTCGTCATTCCCGACGGCCCTCCGCTGGGGTCCACGCTCGTCGAGAGAACGGAGACCATCGCCACCGAAATTCTCATGCCCTTCTCGTTCGCGTTTATCGGCATGTACGTTGACGTCTCCAATGTCGGATTTGTTTGGCCGGCGCTTAAGCCGCTTGTCGCCATGACCCTCATTGGTTATGTTACGAAGATACTTGCCACGGTGCTTGCTTGTCTTTACTTCAAGATGCCTTTGAGGGATAGCCTCGCGCTCAGCTTTACTCTCAGCGTGAGGGGTCAAGTGGAGCTTTTGTTGTTCATTCACTGGATGGACAAACAGGTATGCATGTTTAATTACTGTGTTTGATCTTCCAATTTCTTCTTTGATATAATTTTATGCCTGTTTTATGCTGGAAATTTGAGTACTTCGTCAACTTATCATCTTTGCGTCAAGGGAAATTATCTAGATACGAGAATTAGTCGATATTTCAGCAAATTGAAGTTAAACTTGTTTTAACAAGTGATATAGTATTGAACTTCAATCTCCCCCCCCTAATCAACTATATTAAGTTACCAAACTCCATTAAGTATCATTTCAGAAAAAGTGTCTTCGCTCTAAGGGAGATTAATGAGTTACTCTTTAATTAGTCTCTGAACCTCCAGTATTAGCATACATACTATTTTCTCTATTCAAGAGAAAATCACGATAATAAAGGATGTACATATGTGTGTGTATATATATATGTATATATTTAACTGTTTAATGCGCCAACCATCATCAATCTGATTTCAGATATGTTGTTTTCAATTTGCTGTCTATTAGATGTTTCTCTAATATATATTTTCATATCATTAAAGTTTAAAAACTTAACCGCATAATAAATACTTATAGTAACTGTTCCTTCAATACAAATAAATACTAAACACTATAAGCAATTAAATAAGATGTCAAAATGTGATTGATGAGATAACTAAATGAGGCACAAATTTGAAGTGTTACTACAACTTCATTGTCCACGTAATATTTGTGATTAAAAAAATCCTAACATCTCATGAATTAATTACGCATTTTCTCAGATTTTGCACCCCTCCTATTTCACAATGTTGGTGCTCCTAACAACCATGATAACCGGGATAGTAACACCACTAATCAGCCTCGTCTACGATCCAACAAAGCCATACATGGTGAACAAGAGGAGGACCATCCAGCACACAGCTCCAGGCGCTGACCTCCGCACCCTCCTTGCCATCCAAGACCAGGAGAGTGTGGGGGCCATCATCACCCTCCTCAAGGCCTCAAACCCGACCCCAGCCACCCCGTTCTCCGTCACCGCCCTCTGCGTGATGGAGCTTGTTGGCCGCGCTGCCCCGGTCTTCATCGACCACGACCGGCAGCGTGAGGTCCCCACCCAGTATACTTCCTGCCTCGTCATCCACAATGCTCTCAGCCAATTCCAAGACTCCCACGCCGAGTGCCTAAAGCTCCATTCCTACACCATCGTCACCCCTAAAAGAACCATGTACCAGGTAATAAGGAAAGTCATGAATTATGTGATACTAATCAGTGTTAATGTTCTTTTTATTTTTAACAAAGTTTTTCTGTTAATATATAAAAGTGTATATACTGGATTAAAATCACATGTCCAATTTTAATGTTTAAATAGTCTTTAATCAGCTATATTGTATCATTTCATTTAAAAAAAATTGAAAATCTTGTAATTGATTAACTTTTCCATATTTTTATTTTTAAGTATATTAAATTCTAATTAGTTAGACACCACTGCAAAGGTAAAAAATTAAACGTGATCTAAATGTGTATATATTGTATGCATCATTTATTAATGACATTCACAAAATTTCTTCTCTCCTAATATCTTTACCAGGACATCTGCGAGCGAGCTCTCATCAACAAAGCCACCCTCATCATCCTTCCCTTCGACAAGGACAGTCTCGACACTGGCGGCAGAGGAGGAGGACGTCTTGGCGTCCGCTCCGTCAACTCCTTAGTGCTGTCCCATGCACCATGCTCCGTCGGGATACTCGTCGACAAAGGCCACGTCGCAAGGCTGAACCCGGTCGCAGCAGCCTCTTCTGCCTTTGGAGGCGCTGGGCTCCACTTCGCGGTGCTGTTCTTGGGCGGAGCTGACGCCAGAGAAGCCCTGGCCTACGCCGACCGTATGCTCGGAAACCCCGACGTCTGCCTGACCGTGATCCGGTTCCTGGCCTTCAATGGCGAAGGGGACAACGAGATGGAGAAGAAGCTGGACGACGGCGTGGTGACGTGGTTTTGGGTGAAGAACGAGGCCAACGAGAGGGTGCTTTACAGGGAGGTGATTGTCAGGAATGGGGCGGAGACGGTGGCGGCGATACAGGCGATCAATGAGGACACCTTTGATCTTTGGATTGTGGGGAGGAAGCAGGGGATTAATCCGGTGCTTCTCGAAGGGTTGTCGGATTGGACTGAGAATCATCAAGAGCTGGGGATCATTGGGGACTATGTTGGGGCCGTTGATTTCGGAGGTACTGCGTCTGTGTTGGTTATTCAGCAGCAGATTCTTAGAGAGCAGGGGACGGCGGCCAGAAGTGCTTCTAGAAGATTGGGAATGTTGTATGGGAACCAGTAGCTAGCTAGGCTAAATTGAGACCTCCATATATTTATACATACATATGTATAACATACGTGTACGTGCATCCTCAAAGAGATGGATGAAGTTGGCAGAATAGAAGTTACGAAATGTCTGATAATTAAGAACTAGAACTGAAATCATTTTTGAATTTTATATGTGTAAGTGAAAAAGATCATGTGTTTGTTGTTTTTTTTTTCGGTGGAAAGACCATCATGTTTTTATTTGTTGTAAGTAGAAGATTATGATGTTTGTTCTTGTAAAGTACTATAAAGCAGACGATTTTGTTGATGAATCAAGGAGATTATTCAACTTCAACTAAAGGTATATGTACCAAGTTTTTCCATTGTTTTGAAGCTTTTGATTTTTTAGTGAGAAGCCTTGTTCTTTTCACAACTTCAGTTACAATTCAAATTATATTGTTACAGTATTTTTTCTCATAAAAATTTAAATTTAACTTATTTATTACAATATTTTTATCTCACATAAGCAACTCAAATTCTCAACTAAAATTATGAAGCAAACATAGTGAGTTTTTTCTTACAAACAATAGAGAGAGAAATTATTTTTTAAGACCATCTCCAATATAAAGGATAATACCAATTGCATATTTAACACCAAAAAAAATGTGTAACAATATATTTATAATTAATATATTATTTTTATTTATGCTCCCATGTATAATGTTACTTTCAACCCTAATTTACTTTTTGTTGTATATTATTATGCTTTGAGAGTTGTAAAAGTGAATTTTTAATTTTAAAATAATTTAAAAGTGCAAATATTCTAATGTTTAAATGAAAACGTAAACATAATAACTAATAACTACTTGCCACCACATATTGAATATTGTAATAATTTAAAAGTGCAAATATTTTAATGTTTAAATGAAAAGGTAAACATAACAACCAATAACTACTTGCTACCTCTTGCTACCACATATTGAATATTGTATATTCAAATTTAGTATAAAGAGTAACATTGCATTAGTAGGTTATTTTTCTATTTAAGTGTTAAAGATATTGTATTGGTACGCTAATTTTGTATTGAATTGAAGATGCTCTAGGGTCCCTGAACTAGACCCAATCAATAATGCTGGTCCTAACTTTTGGACGCAGCACACTGTCTAAAAAAATAATTACTTTATCGTTTGTCGTAAAAAGAGCATTTTGTCATTTGTTTAGAAACAACATTTAGTTCAAGTTATTCTTCTGTATTCCACTAAAAACAAAATTGTTCTAATAGTATGTCATTTGAAAGTTTCATTACAACATTTAATTTAAATTTTTCTTCTTTATTCCACTAAAAAAATTTGTTCTCATGGCATATGGCTTTTAAGTTTAATTTTAGTAAGAGAAAAAGATATGAACAGATTATATTGTCGTAAATAAACATAAACCATGTAGACAAATTTCATAGATCGACATTTGCTTAACATTTGCTTTCGTTTAATTTAAATAACATTTTCATTTGGAATTTTAATCTTGTCTATTTGAAAGCTGACTTTGACAAACTAAGAGCTTGCCTGAGTTCTATGAGAATAAGAGAGAATATTTAAGAAAAAGGAGAAATCTTTTGTTTTTAGTTTATCTTGGAATAGACTGGAGGTCCTTTTATAGGGCTTAAAGGAGAATGACCTTCATCTCTTTTTTATATGAGACAATAGTTTTTTTTTTTTTTTTTTTTTTTTTAAATTTACTTTATGAGTGCACTTTGGTGTCATTGAAATATTTCTATTCAATTGTACATCATTCTGAGTATATACGTATATTATTTCAATATTCTTACGAAATAGAATATGGATCCACCTTAATTCATCACTAACATGAAGTAGGTCCTCTTAAGATTAAGTTTCAAATGATATCTCAAATTGAATTACCAAGCCATTTTTCTAACATTATGATTGTTATGAAAAAAAAAAAAAAAACATTTCTTGTCCTATAAAGCACGAAACGACATATAAATCTGCAGTTAGAAAAAGATGTTGTTCAAATGTTTAGTTTTTTGTTGTATAAAGATAGAATCGACATGTAATTTGGCTCATTGGTTTAAATGAATTGAACTAAAAAGTTCAAATAAACCAGCATTTTTCGAGTATTTTTTAGGCTTAGTTCAAAGTAATGGTTTAATATTTTGTGCAAAAGAAAAAATCTCCCAACTCTGGATTTACCATTCCCTACCCTTTTGCTTTCAATGTTTCAGCTATTAAACTTTCCATTTCAAACCCAAAAAGTTCAAACCGCCACATTGCCACGAACCAAGCGGACCTTTTATGTCGTTTATGAAAACTGAGAAACTTGTCTTTGTCGTTTTAGACCCAAACTATTATTACAGGTCTTTTATTGCTTAAAGTTTGTGCCGTTTACTTTAGGGTTTTTAGCACAATTGTTGTAACGCCCTAAGCGGGGGTTATGCAATTTAAATAAAATAATGAGAAACAAATGAAATGAAAACAAAATTTAAGTCTCAATCTACAAAAGAAAAATCTATGGGACTTTACACGAAATCTAAAAAAGAATAAAACACTGTCACGACAAATATTTTAATATTAAAAATTCATAGTACAATCATCATTGGTCAATCCCAGTCAACAAATAATTTAACATAGTTAAATTTAGAAAGTCTTAGGGCTTGTTTTTTGGATCAAAACTAAAAAAAAGTTTGAATTTAAGTTATAATTTTATTCAAATTCATATTTTTTTGTAAAATTTGAGTTTAAACTTGAGTTTGAACTCGAATTTGAACTTAAGTTTAGAGCTAAAATATGAGTTCAAATTCCCCCTTCAAATTAAGTTCTTAAACTTGAACTCAAGTTAATGAACAATATTTTTTCTATTCTTAAAAACGTTATAACTTTTTCATTTTTATTCTGATTGAGATGATTTTTTTTCTATGCATTCACAACGAAAAGATGAATAAAACCTCACCCATATACCCTATTAAAATATTTCATTACCATTGAGTTTTTATTGAAATACTATCTAAATACAAATTCAAGTTTTGACCCCTCCAAATACAAACTCAAATAGATTCTCAATTCAAACTATAACTCAAGTGTGCATATCTAAACATAAACTCACGTTACAACTTCAATTTAAGTTATAACTCAAATTCAACTCAAGATCTACACTCAAATCACCATAACTCAAAAATGCAACCGGACAAGCCCTTAAAGTCTTACTTAATCAAAACAAACGGTTTAAGTACCTATAAGAAATATCAACACGTCGCATACGGCTGACCATCTATTCCTTATCAGATAGATTACACTATACTCTACCTGAGAATTGAAAATAAAAGGGTAAGCATAAAATGCCTAATAGGAGAACCATACTCCCCTTTTAATTTTATTAACTTGTTGAATTATATAGACATGGTCAGTTTTTTCATTTAACAAATAAATAATTAATAAAACATATATATATATATATGATAAATTAAGTGATCAACATCTATACAATAATCATATAGATGCTCTCAAGACGTAGAACCTCTGAAGGGCGTAGTGACTCAAAAACATTGATAGTAAGGAGATCTATCATGGTGAAGCCCTCGAACCAAAAGTAAGGGTAGACCGTTGTCCCGAACCCTCACCATAACATAACCATTGTACAGTAACCTGAGGATTAGCACCCCGAAAAGTGTTGACGTCTCTCCTATCTTTCCTTTTAGAGCATTGCATGCAAGGATGGTTGAAAGGTCTACTTTTATCTCGGTATCACAAAGAGTGTTACAACACTAGTTGAAACACTGAGGATATGTTAAGCATTTCAGATTCAGAAACCAGTAAATAATTGTGCAGAGAAGTAATGAAAAAAATAATAGTGCAGAAACATAAGAGACACAAGAAATTGATATCGCAGTTCGGTGCGCACACCTACATCTGCAAGGCCACGCTCAGAAAGTAAACAATCCACTAAGATTGAAAGATTACAAACACCAATAACGGTCTTACACACTCAATGACTCCCTCATTGACGTATCGCCGTTGTGTCGAGTCTCTTTAGAGGATTTGTCCAAGGAGCACCACCCGACTTTGTAACATCGCTTCACAATCAAGTGTTGACATGCACCATAAGGATAGTCTGCAAGATTTTCCACTCAAACAACAAATCTATCACAGACTCTCAACACCACATAATGTTTTGTACAGTGTCTACCCAAAAGAACCTCTCATTTAACCTGCTGCATACCCCAACAAACCTTACCCCTTCATTATCGCAGATCAATCTCTTCAAAAATAAGTTAATCACCATAGATTCTTTCCATAGATACCTCTAATCAATCAGCCGAGTTAACCAAATCAGCCACCAATCAATCTTAGCAAAATCAATCCAAATCCGGAGGATCATTCCAAATTTGGTGCAGCTAACCCAAAAATGAAAAAACTTGTTTCTTTGAATTCATACTACCGATTTTCAGTAAAAATTGCCAACTAAGGAAGAGCAGTCCTAACAATCTCCCCCTTTGGCATTTTTTGGCAAAACACTAAAAGCATCCTAATGTTAAGAAATTCAAAAGAAAGAGACAACAGAAATAAATTGTTGTTCCGGACAAATTACAAACAATTACACGACTCCCCCTCTTTGTCAAAAAGACTGCCAAAGTAAAGTAGCAGACAAAAGATGACAGTAAGAACTATAAAAGAAAAACTAGGAAGAAGTACCAACTCCATCAGCAGTTGAAAAAGATTGGAGATCTTCAAGAAGCACCACAGCCTCCTTTTTGTGCTGATCAATTTCTTTGAGCTCCTATAAAAGTCTCTTTTCACGAGCAGCAATATCAGCTGAAGAAGATTGGAGATCCTCAAGAAGGTCATAGCCTCCCTCTTACGTTGATCAATTTCTTTGAGCTCATGTAAAAGTCTCTTTTCACGAGCAGCAAGATTGTGTAATTCTTTCTGCAAGTACTGAATGGTACGAGCTTTTTGAACAGCAACAACAGATTGATAGGAACCGGATGTGACACCAGTTGAGACATGAGGAGTAACATCCTTTTGTAACTCATCTTCAGAATCTGAGAAAAGCTCCCCCTGAACATCATCCACATGCTTTCCAGAGTGAAGTTTCTTTGAAATTCTAAGTTCTCCTAGAAATTTGTCAAACACCTCTACCGACTTCTTAATATCGTTTTGAGACATCAACACTCCATAA